TTCATTGAACGTGCTTCTGACTTCAAGGACTCAAATGAATGATTCAGAGAAGGTGTCTGATTTTAAGTTGCAACCTCTTACAAATAATTTTTCAGAGAAAATCTTGCTACCTACAGAAACATTTCATGTTGAGGCACAGCAGAAAAAGAAGCTTCTTGACATCTGCAAAGGAGTCCCGTTGCTGTTGAAAGGAACAGCTGCAATTTTGAAACAAAGGAGAAAATCTCCCAGTGATCTGATTGATGAGATAGAAATGAACTCTAAAGAGGAAGCTGGAGTTCCTGTGAAATCAAAATATGAAGAGGATACAGAAGAAAGATCTTTTAATTCAGAAGAAGAAGGCATTGATGATGAGCAAATATCAGTGATCAGAGAAATGTTCTATACTTTACCATCTGACATTTTGAGGGTTTCTGCTGTTTCGGTATCCTTGTTTCATGGGCCCTTTACTGCTTCCACTGCTGCCAAAATTCTTGGTGTTAGCATGTCAGAAGCAGTGGCACAGCTTGAAGGACTAGTAACCAATGAAATTATTCATGTAGTTGATGAAGATGCCAAGCAGTTGATGTATGACATTCATCCACTTTTAAGAAAGTATGCTGAGAGCATTCAAAATGATGCTATGTTCTATGAATCCTACACTGAAGCAAAGGGCCGATTTTATGAGCACTTTATGTCAAAGATGAAGCGAATTGCTGGATTAATAGAGTCGAGCTACATGAGAGCATTCAACGAGTTTAAAAGAGATCGTCCAAACTTTGAGTTTGCAATTGACATTGCCTTGTTACCAGAGTACTTTACTGTTCCAGGTGGATACCATGAAAGTGCATTGATTGTGTCCCTTTTTAATGCCATGTTGTCTGGAAAGAAGCAGACTAAGCTGTTCCATTCCTGGGCAGAGATGTGCAAAGATGATGGAAACTTAGGTATGTTTTTCTTTTCATTATTTTATTGCAAGGAAATGACAAAAATCCCTGCATAACTTTTTAACTAGGTGTCTCAAATTGTTTTCTAGCATTTTATTTTCATCCCAAATACTGCACTAAAAAATTTCAGAATTCTGTCATCAAAGCAAATGCTCTCTTGTCAGTGAATTACTCACAGTAGTTTCACAGGTTATCTTGACAATATTACGACCCATTTATTTAAACAAAATGGCCCTTTCCATTGCATGAAACTGGCATTTGGAACTTACCAAGACTAACCAACACCAGTACCACTGGCCTTACCACTACTTCTACCAATACCACTTCCACCAGCTTTACCAGCAGCATTACCACTACCACTACCTAGTGTTCTCCCTAAATTTTACCTCAGCAGGTAAGGGCCCAGTTTTGGCCAGTAAGGCAAAAAATATGCACCAGAGGCACACTTTCTTGGGGAGGGGGTGGAATGGGGGTAGTGGAGTGAGGGACATGGCCTCACCCTCACTGGGAAATTTAGGAGCCAAGTTTCCTCAAACATCGTTCCCTCATATTAAGACCTATTTTATGCAAATCTGCCATTGTTATCTATAAGAGAACAAAAAACGATTGATTCCAATAATTTTACTGTGTCTTCACTGTCCTCTTTGCAAAATGTGTGGCCCATAAAACGAAAAGCTGTGTATACTTTAGTACTTTTCCATATACAGCTATTTCAAGAAAGGTTGTCAGACAAAATGTGCACGCAACAATCCCAAAAGGTATTATGGGGTATGATCAATAGACTGTTCCTGACACTATAGCTGTCAAACCTACTCTTGTTGCTTTTCTTTAGCACTCGCAAACATACATCCATGGCCTTTTTGTGCCATTCTTCTAGATTTCTTTAAAGAACAGCGAACTTAAATCCACCCACAATACCTTTTGGGATTGTTGCGTGCACTTTTTCCAACAAACTTTTTCAAAATAGCTGTATATTTATTCATTTATTCTCAACTTCCCTTCTTATAATCTACTTTTTTAAATTTTAGTGAACCTTCAAGTTGTTGTAGGCGGTAAGAAGTGTTGCTTCAGGTGGTAAATTTTACCAGTTACCACCTGTTAAAGAGAACACTGACTACCACTACCACTACCACAACCACTACCACTACTACCACCTTCATTACCACTACCACTACCAATACCACTACCAGTACCATCACTACCTGCACCTTCACTACCACTGCCACTACCACTACCACCACCAATACATCTTGGTTTGTAATTAATTTTAGAAATGAGCATTATTTTTTGTAATACTATAAAATGTTATGGTGGTACAAATAAAGCATTCTACTACAACTACTAGCACTTCCACATCCACCACCACTACTAGTACCGCTACAACCACCACCCCTACGACCAATACCACAACCACCACTACTACCACCACCACCACCACCACCACCACCACCACTACCACTACTACTTCCTCTACTACTATTACTACAACTATTGCCATCACAACCACCATTACCAGTACTATTACCAATGCTACTACCAGTACCATAACCACAGCCACTATTACTGCCACTGCCAATATTGCACCAGAGTACCCCAGTCATCACCACTACTGCTTTTGCCACCACTATGAATTACATGAAGCACTCTATATATCACTATGACGGCCACAACCACTACATCTGACACTTCAACCACCACTTGCACTGCTACTGCTTATCCCTGCTGCTTCCGCTACAGTGCAACACAGCGTTATGTTACTAACACTGCCATTTTCTCTAGCGCTCTGACAGTTGAGGTATATTTACAAAGAGAATCAAATAGACTCAACGTGCCAAAGTTTACGATTGTTGCAAATGTAATGTGCGCCTTTTTGCAGGTTCTTTATTTCGCGCTCAATTACGATGTTGGGAAGCCAGGCTGGTCTCAGAATCTGAGGGTGCTCAGAAAGCTTTTGAAGTGTTGGAAAAGGCATCCACGTCATTAAAACAAGTTGATGACAAATCTACCGAATCTTTCAAGCTGACTCAAGGGCTCTACTTGTATTTTCAGGGAGAAATCTACTACCAAAATAGAGACTACCAGAAAGCCATTAAATGTTTAGAGTCCTCTTTAGACCTCATGGAGGGTCCGTTAAAACTTGACACCAATCTTGCCAGGTGTTACAACGCTCTAGGCAATTGTTATTACGGACTTGGCAGACCGGAGAAAGCTCTTGAGTTCTACAACAAGGCACTTAAAATGCGGGAAGAATTATCCGGCTCTGATTATCACTATGACATGCCCGTTTACAAGAATCAGATTGGCACAGTTCATGAAGACAAAGGAGAGTATGACGAGGCAGTGAAATGTTACAAAGATGCTCTTGAACTTTTAGAAGAGCTCAAATGTTTGGGATATGAAGATGAAGCACTGTTTCGTAGAAATCTCGCCAATGTTTACGCTCGCCAAGAAAAGTACAAAGAAGCCGAAGAGGAGGCAAAGAAGGCGTTCGAAATCAGGCTTAAAATTCTTGGAAATCACCGGGATACCGTGCGAAGCATTTTTCAGCTAGGAGTCATACAAGCAAACTTACGCGATTTTAAAAAAGCGCTGGCGTTCTTCGTGGATGCTTGGGAGATGGAGAAAAAGTTGGCACCCGGGAACCAAAGTGAAGTTTGGAGTCGCATTATTAAAGGGGTTTTTGACATGTATGATTTCTTGAAGACTAAAGACAGCGAAAGAGAAACATTTAGGCAAGACGCTTTGAAGTTTTGTGAGCGTTTCTGGAAAGGAGAAAGAGCTTCTAAGAAGTTTAGTTTTACGAAATACAATAAGGAGATCATTGACACCATTTTGCACCTACTGGGTAACAAGACGAAAGACAGAGCTCTTAGAGATGAATACGAGAAAGATGCAGTCTGGTTCTATGATGGCATGCAGAGAGCTACTGAAGCGGACTTCTTCGAAGAATTTGACCAGGAAACAGACAATAAGGTGCTAAATGAAATGCTGAGAGAAAGAACTGCATTTTTGGAGAGGTTAATTGATTTATGTGGTCGATGCGATGAACATGAAAAGCTTATTAAGCACAAACAGGGGAAGATGACGTTGTTCGAGAAAGTCCTTGTTAGGTTCGATTTTGTTGGTGAGAAGAAACAGGAGAAATCAACGCTAAAGGAAGCCGTGGAAAAGTTGTATAAAGACTTAGGAGAGAAAAAAAGTATTAAGAAGTTTCAAGACAACCTGTTGGCAACCTGGCAAAGGCAGTGGGAAGAAGGAAAAAGTGTAGAGGAGTCAAAAGTGAATTTGGTGGCGAGGGAAAGAATGATCAAGGGAATACTACAGTTGTGCGATGAACTTAAAAGGAAAGACCTTCGTGAGAGATATAAGAAAGAAGATTTGAAGTTTCGTGAAAGATTATGGGAAATACGATACACTGAAATGGAACCTCCTGTTATGAAGAAGTTTCTTAATGAGATAAAAGAGCTGGCTTCTTCGATTAGAGAAAGAGAAAGAGTGGAAGTCTACCGTGCTGCCTTAAAGGTATCATTTTAGGGTTAATAACCTACCGTTTTCCAACTTGACGGTAAAGAGTCCTCCTTTTTTGGGCATTTCCTGCAGTCTACACAAAGTGTAGGATATTCACTAGGTTCTTTTACAAAAAGATTCTCATATTTTAAGAGGCAAATGAGCTGTCATAAGACTAAAATTATTGTTATGTTTAATAAGATCTCACTCGGAGCAGGCGATCACTCTCCACGAATTTTTACTGCTTTTTACTGCTTTTCCTTTTTTATGTCTTTTTTTTTTCCTTGATGCGCAAGATTTTTGCTTGAATTGTTTTGTTTTTGTTTTTTTAACTGGTGGTCTAAATCTTAAAAGTTTAGCCTATAGGGTCTATTTTACATCACTTTATAGGTTCTGATGAACGGTTTTTTACTGTATAGCAGATTTTCGGTAGTGTAGAGATATTTTTATTCTCACTTTCATGAAATTCTTGTAACGTTGGTTAACGTTGCGTCTTTTGTCATGTACCATACTTTACCTCTAATCCGTTTTGTCTTAACAAATTTCTCTTATAGGATCTGAGGGAGAAAAAACAGCCAAGCATCTCGCTAACACCGAAAGGTAACATTTCATGATGATTTCTTATAATATTAAATAATAATTAATCAATCTTGAGCTGTTTTAACCCCGCTGAAACATTCCACTACTCTGTCCGCCATGTTTGTTTACATTTCCCCCCCCCCCCCCCCCCCCCAAAATTTTTACGATGACGCCCCACCCCCAATAAGTACCTTTTTCCCTACACCACCGCCCTTCGATATTCTACGAGATTTTTTTAAAAATTAAAAAAATATAAAACAAATTTTGGGTTTTTTTACCCCCCTGAAACACTCCCCCCCTCCGACACGCCTTTTTTTTTTCATTTCCCCCCCCCCCCCGTCACCAAAATAATCTTATAAATTCTCTCGCGCCTAGTTTGGATCCCAGTCTATCATTCTTTTTCGAAGTGAGGTATTGTCAAACTGGTTTCTGAGTGCGAGCATCTGTTTGCCTGGGGCCCGTTTCTCGAAAGTCCCAATCAGCTGTCTCCGTTTATGAAACAAAATGAAGTAGTTTGCTAGCCAGGACCCGCGCTCTTATTCTTTATATTTCGATTTGAATATTTGTTTTCGGGCCCGAAAAGTTAGCGGGGCTCTCGAGAAACGGGCCCCTGGCTTCGAAACTGTATGATAGCAACAACCAGTACATGCTCAACAAAGATCTTACTCGATTCATACATCCCAATTACGCAGAATTCGAGGAAGTGAAAGAAATGCTCTGCCAGCAGGGTGGGAAAAGAGCGATAGGAAAATAAAAAGAAACTTAAGAAGGCTTTTGGTAAAGCCGATACCCAGATGATGACGCAGGTGTGGACCTACCCCTCCCCTAAGTCACAATTTTGCCGTAGGTGAGAAGTAATCGTTAATGTTGACTTAGGGGAGGGGTAGGTGCTCAGTTACACAGAAACCTCAGTTGATCTACAGTTAGTTCTCTGATCTAAGATTTGATTGCCATACGTTTATAACTGTTATAACTGTTTACTTGGATGCTACTCCTTCGACAGGAATCAGAGCGGCAGAAATATCTACCTCGTGAATATGATATATATCAAATCCAGTTTTTAACTTTTAGGGCCAGTTATTTAAACGGAGATTAACCAGTGTTTAACAAAACCGCGTCCTAAGCCATTTTCAGTTTGCTGAACGCTTTTATTCAAAGACCATTTATCGGGAACAGTTTCATGAAAGCAAATAGCGTAGACTGGAAAAGCATTTGTCTTCTTAAAATAACGCACTAAGAAAGACCTGAGATCTGGATGTCCAAAGATTTTTTAAACCGCGATCGAACATAGACTTCGTTTAAATAACCGACTCTTAGGGAAAAGGCTTTTTCTATTGTACTACGAGTTTTGGCCTAGGTACGATAGCTAATATAACAACACATTTGTTGACAATAAATACCTCTAAGTAAAGAAACCTAAAACTCGTCGTTATCTCAGTATTTTATTTTTATTATTGTTTTTTTAATTTCAAGTTCTTCAAGTACAGATGAGTTCTTTGCTCGAAAAATCCTCGACGGATGCTGGCGAAGAGGAAGAAGAAGAAGAAGTAGTAGAAGCTGAAGGAGACGTTGAAGCGGTAACTGCGGAGGCTACTGGAACAGAATCATCCGAGGAAGTGATCACAGTAGATTCAGAAGAGGATGTTGTAACGCTGTCAGGGCAAGAAGTTGAAGGAGGATCCCAAGAAATGATTGTGAGTGGGCCGGAAGAAGAGGTTGAATTAGAGTCTGAACACGGAACGCCACTTCAAGACGATTATATTGTTGTATTCAAGTAAGTACTTTAAAGTGACATTCCTAACGCGCATACCGTCAACTTCCGGTCATAAGCCCTTGCCTTATTCAACTTCGTAAGGGTTTTAGGAGGGCTCACGAGGGGGTGGGGGTGGGGAGGAGTTGGCTATAACCGTACTAAAAAAGCTACATAGCAGTGTCGATCAAAATACTTTTTGAATTTTCTCGCTTTTTTAAGCTTAGAAAAAAATCGAATTCATCTCTGTGCAAACTAGAGGGGGCTTACATCTGACGGAAAAAAAAAACCGGATGTATCTTCTGTTTACAGATAGATGGGCCCACAACTAGGTGGGCGGAACTTAGAAACGGAAGGTTTAAGGTATTATAGGAAATGATTTAAGTGCCAATGATGTCGGTTTGAAAAGGGCTTTGTCATGTCGTGTTTCCAATTTTGATATTAAAACAGATGAAATTAAGTAAGCATCTTCTTGTTATTTTTTCCACCGCGGAAGAGTTCAACTTGAAAAAAGTTGGCCTATTCCACCTGTGGTTGCTTCTCAAAACTTTATTAATATATTTTTTTTATTTTTATTTTTAAGGGATAAGGTGTCCAAGCAAGGTACCCACTGGAATCTTAAACAAGTGGCCGCACACGTTATATTCCCTCCTGATGCTGTATCTGAGGACAAAATAGTGACTGTCTTTAGATGGAATTCATCGGTTTGTTGCCCCCCTTTGACTGACAATGAAGCTG